TGTAAAATATCACAAACCAACTTTGGATGATTTAGTTAATTAAATGTGTACTTGCTACTTTAAATCCACAGGTTCAAGTTGATAGTGCAGATAGATATTTAAATGAACCACAAAAATTACATGTTAACCTGAAGAAACCTTAGTGATATGGCCAGCTACCCACCTAATCTGCACCTTGGTACGTCAGGTGAACAGTAATCCACACAAAAGCTTTTCCTCAACTGGGCAAAGATGTCAGTGTGCCCCACAGACTTAGACCTGAAATAGTTCTGTGCTCACAAAGCCTTTTTTTCTCCCCCAAAGCAGTCAGATGAAGACTTTGCCAATCACAGTGACTGTGACCAAAACCAGGTAAGGCTCACGTATTGAAGTGACTTTATTGTTTAATTTATTTATTTCTCTAGTGATGGGCATTTTAAATATTTAGTATTTTGCTGTTATATTCTTGAATTGAAAAAAAATCCTGTGTATTTATTGTTCTAGCATAATTACTGCTTCATAATTTTTGCTGCTGTTTGTGTTATTATTTTAAACAGCAGTTACCTTTTTGAAGGAGGAGCCTAAACGGGGTCTCGTTTTCAGCTTGATGACTGTGTCTAATAGTCTGATCTGGTGGTTTGTACCCTTAGCACACAGCACGCATGAGTGAGGAGGAAGAGGAGGATGATGGCTGTGACCTTTTCGCTGACTCTGAGAAGGAGGAGGAGGATATTGAGGACGTTGAACAAAGTACTCGACCTGTAAGGAAGACTGCGGTTGCTGTCTCTGAGCAGGGTTTAGAGGTAGTTCCTAGGACTCGGCCCTGTTAGGGTCGCTGGTATTCGTAACGTTGTTTAGCATCGTGTTTGTAATTTCATTTGTACTTTTGAAAATAGTGCTGAGCACCCCAAATTTCCTTACAAGTACCACACTTTTCTCCAAATGTTGTAGTTGCACCCCGAGATCACTCAGAATATAGTCAGTTCCAGAAGTTTTGAGCTCCTAATGGTCTTTTTTCCCCCGTCTCTCCCTGAAGGACTTATATGCCTAATAGTTTTCTAATCTAATCGTTCAAGAATTACAATGAAGTATTAAATAAGGAAATAGAGAACATCTCCTTTTTGCAGGAACATTTTAAGAGTCCTGTTTCCCAAGGGATCTGTACAGTTCATGTAATTAAACCCTATTTTCTCCTCAGTTCAGTTTCTTTGCTGTTTTTTCCATAATTTTGTTAGGTGTCCAAAAGTAAAGTGGGCTGTTGTGTATGTTACCAAAACGGCGATTCTTTTGATCTCTTCTGCCTGTAGAAAAGAAGTAGGCCTACGTCATTTGCTGATGAGCTAGCAGCTCGAATCAAAGCGGATACCCCTGGCCGAATTGCTGAGAGCCAAACAGGTAAGTCCCGGAGAAGAGTTTATGAGGGGAGTGGTGAGTGAGAGGCGGGGCCCTCTCCCGGGCTTCCCTGAGGTCGTGAGTGAGAAGCGGGGCCCTCTCCTGGGCTTCCCTGAGGGCATGTTTCTGCTTTCAGTTACAAGGGCACAGGAGGCTTAAAATAGCACTACCTTTTTTTTTTTTTGGTTTGCAGACTCCTGTTGGTAACAGAATATTGTAGAGCCCCAGGAAAAAATGCATGTATCTAGTAACATATACATTTTTAGGGGCATTATAGATACCCCAGAGGTACACCGTGAACCCCAGATTAAGAATCCCTGGCTTAATATTCACTCTTGTCCTATATTTTGAATTAAAAATAATTATTATACAGTATATTCTAGTCAGTTGTCAAGGTGGGAAAAATAAGTTTCTCAGCAAGTACATTCCTGCTGTGCATGTGACCCCGGCATGTGAGGTGAAGTACTTTCCTGCTGTGCATGTGACCCCGACATGTGAGGTGAAGTACATTCCTGCTGTGCGTATGACCCTGATGTGTGAGGTGAAGTACATTCCTGCTGTGCATGTGACCCCGGCATGTGAGGTGAAGTACATTCCTGTTGTGCGTATGACCCCGGCATGTGAGGTGAAGTACATTCCTGCTGTGCGTATGACCCCGGCATGTGAGGTGAAGTACATTCCTGCTGTGCGTGTGACCCCGGCATGTGAGGTGAAGTACATTCCTGCTGTGCGTGTGACCCCGGCATGTGAGGTGAAGTACATTCCTGCTGTGCGTGTGACCCCGGCGTGTGAGGTGAAGTACGTTCCTGTTGTGCGTATGACCCCGGTGTGTGAGGTGAAGTACGTTCCTGCTGTGCGTATGACCCCGGCGTGTGAGGTGAAGTACGTTCCTGTTGTGCGTATGACCCTGGTGTGTGAGGTGAAGTACGTTCCTGCTGTGCGTATGACCCCGGGGTGTGAGGTGAAGTGCGTTCCTGTTGTGCGTATGACCCCGGCGTGTAAGGTGAAGTACATTCCTGGTGTGCGTATGACCCCGGCGTGTGAGGTGAAGTACATTCCTGCTGTGCGTATGACCCCGGCGTGTGAGGTGAAGTACATTCCTGCTGTGCGTATGACCCTGGTGTGTGAGGTGAAGTACATTCCTGCTGTGCGTATGACCCTGGTGTGTGAGGTGAAGTACATTCCTGCTG